CGACTGATGATAGAAGCATATCGGTTGTGCTTCTCGACAACAGGTCTCTGGATATATAAGGTGAGGACCTGGAGGGGTCAGTCAGCTGCCACCTCGGGATTCTTAGATATGCGTGGATCAGGGATGCAACCTACCTCAAGCTCGCTGGCAAAAGCATTGAACAAGAGTGCGAAAAAAGACAACAGCGCCGCGGGGGATAAAAACTGCTTTGTGTCACCGGGAGAGGTTTGTAGAATGCACTACCCAAGGACGAGGACCCATGAATCAAGTTTGAAAGCTAAAGCTGTGCCACAGTGAATCCGGGGATCCCGCAATCAGGCGCTTCCATCCACGCCAGATACAGAGCCTGACCTGGTCGAAATATGGGATCGTGTAGGGCGATTTAAGCCGTTGCGCTGAACTGCGCTCGACCTTTCGGCTGAGCGTAAACTCATCCATACGCTGCTGTTGAGGATGTGCGGCATCGTATTGGTCGAGCTCAGTAATGAGAGCGGCACGTTCCTGCGAATCACGCCACCTGGCGGCGAACTCGTCAGGAGTGTTTGGGACCATTTGCTCGCATCCCGCCCTGATGCGACGTTCTTGTGGCGACGTCATGGATGTCAGGAAATCGGCGGTGGTCTGCCTGTCAGGGCCTTCAGTTGAAGAGAATGTCAGCGGCCAAGTAAGGTTAGTCAGACAATCAAGCGCGACTTACATTCGAAGCCCAGTTGCTCAAAGTAGTGTTTCGCCTTTTCAGTACGGCCAAAGTAGATCTGACGGCCCTCGTACAGCACGGTGACTTTATCAAAGGTCTGAACTGGTCAGCTTAGATCGCTCTTCCAAACTGGGGGCTTTGGACTCACCTCGTAGGCCGCCTGGGGCGCCTGATAGATGGCAACGACAGCAGCCACATTCATAATGTCTGCCTGAACGCGCAGGGTCTTGCAGAAGGAGATGGCATTGCCGCTGTCCAAGCCACGGGTGCTGTTGTCCCAGCATTGAAACTTGGCGCCTGTGAGGGATGCCTCTGCGATGCTGACGCGCTTGCGCTCGCCTCCAGAAACACCTCGAACGATGTCGTCGCCGACCTTTGTGTCAATGGTGTGGGAAATGCCAAAAGTGGCCATGATGACGTCGCGCATGATACGGGCGTACTCATTCTTGCTGAAGCCACCGGGGATCTTGGCAGGAACGCGAGCACGCGCTGCGAATTCGAGAGTGTCGCCGACGGAGAGGGGCGCGAGGTGGACGTCAACCTCGGCGTTGTAGAGCACATCGCCCCGGAACCAGTTGTGCATGTGGGTTGGGTCGATGCCTGGTTCATGTTAGTGGTTATTCAGCCGGAAGGGGTACTACGATGAAGCACCTGTAAAGTTGATGTATGATTCCTCTGTGATGTTGAGTCCCTCGGTACGCCCTGACAAGGTTTTGAGAAAGGTCGAGCATCCTGAGCCGGGGGGCCCTAGAACAAAGTAGCATTTCCTTGGGATCAACGATGCCGTCAAAGCCTTGTAAGATGTCTACACGAGTAGCGGCACGACCAGTGACCTTCCCGGCAAGAGTCGAGGTCAAGCTGAGAAGGATGTTACCGGTGCTCTGCTGGTACTGGTCGCCCGAGGTGTGGCCAAAGACGCCCAGGTTGCGGAACGCCACGCCGGCCTTGCGTGGGGGCGCCGTGTCAGGGTCGGCCTCGAATTCGCGTATGTAGGCCTGGGTCCAGAGGGCTCTGTCAAAGTCCGCTGAGAATGGATCCAAATTGCTACCCTTGACAGGGTTGAGGGCGCTGTTATCTGTTTCATGGTCGAGCCTGGCCGACTGAGCCGTGACACGGCGGGCTAGTGCTTCGACTTGATCATGTGTTTGTGAGACTTGTGTCGAAGATGAGTGTCGAGACGAGCCGATATGCGTCTTCGCAGATGGCTCCTCGGAGTAGGTCCCCATGGTGGAGGGCTTGAGACACCCTGAGATGTTCGGTCGTGGCGTGTTCTTTCTCCTCGGCAGATGATTGTAGTCGAATAATCAGGTCCCAGGAGCTTCTCATGCGATAGCTGTTTGGTATAGTTCAGGGGCAGTAGTACAGAAGCTGCTTTTGACTTTTCTTATGAGTTCAGGTCAAAGAGAGGGGGGGGGGGAACCGGGCAAGGTAATCTTTGTAATGATCAGCGTGTCTGCTCCATCAATACCGTGAGGTGAATAATCGACCAAGGTGGCTTTGAGTGTATAATTATCAACCACGGTGATTCACCCCGGTGTTCCACGGAAGTATCCGCGGGGTTCAGGACGGCATTCGTGGGTATCAGTAACAGCGAGAAAGCAGAGCGTTGCGTGTGATCGGGCTAGGCGTGTTTGCCGTGATGGGGGTCGGGCACGGCAAAGTTGGCTCAGGGGAGCCGATCCTGGATGCATAAATGAGTCGCGCTCAACATTGCCACGGCGAATAGAAAAGGGAGGTTGATAACAGAGAAGAGTCCCCGCTCCGTTGGCACAATGAAAACGACAACAACATAGAAGCACGACTTCGGACACATTTTGCAGCAGGGGGGGCCTGGAACTTTAGGCCCAAAGACGCCCAGACCGCAGCAGAGGACTTTGATGGCGGGATCCCACGCTTGCGAGATTTCATGTCGAACGGGACGGATTGACCAGGATTGCGCCTCCGGTGGTGCCTAGGCGAGCTCGCTGATGGGCAGGGGGTGAGGGCCGGAGTGGGCTGCATGAGTGAGGCTCCGGTGGGTTCGGCGGGTTCGGCGCTCGGGATGACCCAGCGAACCCACCCAGCAGGTGGGTGGTGGCTCATGGTGGAATGGTACAATCTGTCATGGTGAGATATTGATGGACTGGGTCCCTCGGCGTGCTACCAGAAGCTTTCGGTCATCGACACTCGTCGAGTACACTCGTCGAGGACACTCGTCGAGTTTGAGGCCAACATTCGACTCACGACGTTGCTGACTAGGCACCTCTCGACTGCATATGCTTATCTGAGGGCGCAAATGAGCGGCGTGGAACCGGTTGAATCGATCGAGGCTCCATCTCTGCCGAGCGAATATCAGCCCTGTGGGCTCGGCTTGGCGTAAGCCTCATACCAGAGAATGCTTTTCGGCAAGGCGATTCTCGGTCTTTGCAGGTCCGCGGGCGCAGGCGGCACGGACGGGCGTTGGGCTCGGCCATCTTGGTGGGTTCACGAGTGATGTGTTACTGAGTCGACCGATTTCAGATTATGCCGTCTCCGGTCGGGGACATCGCGGGGTTGTCACGACAAAGTACCTGGTCGTGGCAGGTGCTTGCTCCCGGAAAACTTGCTAAATGTCGGTGCCGAATAACAGAAAATCACCTGCACGAAAACTTTCTTCGTTCGATCTGTCCTGCCATGCGATGGACAGCGATTGTTGAACAAGGCCAGATGGCGAAGATGGCAGGGCGACTCGAGCCCGCATTCAGTTGTTCATCAGGAGTCAAAAGAAGGCTGTGGTCGGGTGGGGGCAGGACAGGAGCTTGGAGCGGACTCGGGATAACACTTGGGCCTCCACTCCGGCCGGTTGGCAGTCTAATCCAAAATTGTCCACCAGCCACGATACTGATAAGCACCAGCCACTGGTCTGCATATCGACTGGGGCTGGGGCTGGAACAGCTGCCAGTTCGACTCGCCCGCCGTACCTACCTACCTAGGTAGGTAGGTAGGAAGGTAGGAAGGCTGTGATCATCAACCCTCCCGGAATACTTCCACAGCCTGGACAACGACACGCGCACGCCGTATCTCGCCTCGAGAAGACGGAACATTGATACATCTGTCAATCGCTCACCTTCACGCTCTTGCCTACTGTTCGAGTCCGACGAACACGCAGAGACATCGCCAGATTCTTCCTAGCGTCATGGATTCAGCCCTTCAGCCCCCAGGTAGACCCAATCAGACACTCACTGTTTTTCGTGCCCCCCGAACGCCATGTCCTGTTTCCTGAGCTGCTTCATCTCGCGCGCTGCTGAGGAGGGCTGCTGGTCGCCATCTCATTCCCGCCTTCAGCTAAGCAATTGAACCGATCGCATCGTCAACGATTGATCCTCGACCTCGTCGACTTCGCATCGCCGAGTGACCGTCTCTCCAATTGAACCTGTTGATTAGCCGCAGTACAAGAGTCTGAGGTCTCGTCTGCACCACCATGTCTTGTCCCGATTGCTTCAGCGGCGCCCTGCACAAGGGAATTCCACGGGGGCGAGTCACGACTCTCCACGGTTTCGACGTGTACATGACCGAGCCTCAAAACCAGCAGCCGGCCAAGGGCATCATCGTCGTGATTCCCGATGTCTTTGGCTGGGAGTTCCCCAACGCCCGCCTCATCGCCGACAGATATGCCGACAAGGGCGGCTACAAGGTGTACCTCCCCGACTTCATGGACGGCCACGCCGCACCCGTGTCCATGCTCGCCAACATGCGTGCCATTTTCGGCGACGCCAACCTTCTGTCCAAGGCGTACGTTCCCGCTCTCGCCGACGTGCCATCATCGCCTCCTGCCCTGCCTCGTCACCAAATCACACACGTGCTGACCGGTGCCCCAGCTATAACCTCGTCTCGGCTCTCCTGGTCGTCGTCCCCTTCTTCTACCGCAACCGCTTCGGCATCACCCACCCGCGCGTCAAGACCTTCTTTGCCGCCGTCCGCGCCGACGAGCCCGCCCTGCCCCTCGGTGCCGTCGGCTTCTGCTGGGGCGGCAAGCACACCGTGCTCCTCGCCCAGGGCCCCACTGGCGGCGGCGGCGACGACGGGAGCCACGACCAGCCCCTCATCGACGCCGCCTTTACCGGCCACCCCAGCTTCGTGGTACTGCCCGGCGACCTCGAAAAGCTCGTCGTGCCGCTGTCCATTGCCGTAGGCAGCGAAGACAACCAGATCCCGACAGCCAAGGCCGAGCGGGTGCGGCCGGTCATCGAAGCCAGGCATGGCGAGATCATAGTGTATGACGGATCGACTCACGGGTTCGCGCTGCGGGCTTCGTTTCCAAAGGACGAAAAGGTGGACGGACCGGGCGAGGAGGCCGAGGATCAGTGCATCGCGTGGTTCGGAAAGCACTTTCGCGCGACATGAAAGTCGCCGCCGTGTCAAGAGTATGGGCCGACAATGGGAAGCGCCACGCGGCACGGTCGAGAGTGTAGGGGGGAGGGCAACGTTACACGCCAATTCACGGGCCGAATCGATTGCGCCTCTTCGGGAACCATAAGGGCAACAAGACCTGAAGACTGCGGTCATGAGTAGTGTGATTTGACAATGGAGCGGAAAGGTCGCTTTGAGAACGGCCGAACTTGTGTAAACCTTGTTCATGGACAGACAACGGCGAGGGCGGGCAGCAAGCAAGCAAGACTGAATACATCATTCGTTATATTCGTCTCCACCACGGAGCCGCTTACTGCCGCGTCACTCGATCTAACCGAGCGAGGTGCGCGTCCGTCAAAAATGCAAAACATACAACACCAGGGATTCGCCGGTGGTCACCCACCCGACTACTGATCTGGCCCTTACTGGTTTATCAAAGGGAGAGCGGACGGGATCCCGAGCTTTCCAGTAGGTATGGTCGTATGTGCTTGAGGAGCAGTCGTTCGTGGCTCATGTTTGTCATGGTCGTGGTGGTACTGTTGTGGGGGTTGGCCGACGCTGCCAACCTGGGCGGAGCTGATGCTTTCTGATTGGGAAAAGCGGCAGATATTGTTCCTCTTAGGTATTGAATTGACCCTGCTTGCGCGTCTCAAGACACATCTGCGAGCACTGAGCATCTGACTGATCAGTCGCCTGGGGCCCCCGGAAAAGAAGCATGTCCCCGTCCGGCAGGACAAACAGCTGAACACCAAGTTGACAACACGAGGAAGCGCTGCTCACCGTTCGGAGAGATCTGAATCAGCCCCTCGGCTGAGAAGGGATAACGTGCAATCAGCATCGAGAGAAGGCTATTTCTCCATAATGATAATGACAAGCTATACGTACGTGTATGGATCTGCCGTATGATCGCCCGCCCCAGCCCACTTCTTTCTAGCCGTGGCTTGGCTCATGATCTGTCTCAACGTCTTCATCGTCACCGGGTACACCTCACGACACCATCAAGATGAGATAATAATAGCAGCTCATGGCGTTGGGCTTGCCTTGGGGGTAGGTGGATAGTTCCGGCTCAGCCGACAGGTAACCTAATGCGGCTGATCCGCGTGCGATGGGTGGTGCGGGGAGGATAACGTGCCCAACCAGCGCCCAGAGATTCCGTACAAACTTCCCGAAGTCTTGACTCAAACCAGCCTAGCTGACACCCCGTAAGGCAGAGCCGGCGTGCCGTATGCGCTTTGTTTCCTAGGAGGGGCCGGCTGGTGGAACAAGCATGCGCCAACGTTTGTCGTGCTGCCGAGAGGGTCGACGTAGTGGTTCTGCACCCCGCCCTGCGTGCTGTCGGCAGACGTGACGTGGTGGGAACTGAGTATCTGGGGGAGCAGATTGGTCGTGACGGGCAGGGCTGAGCGTGGCGGAGGCGACGGCTGCTAGCTCCAGCCGCATGTCATCGTTTCTTCTGCCAGTCGCTGTCGAGTCCGTCAATGTCGCCGACGATGTTGAGCGGGAGGATCTATTCTCGTGTCGAGAGACATGGTGTGGGCTGTTTACGAGATGATGGCCGAGGTTTGGTCTATCAGCGATGAAAGCTTTAGTATAAAGATGGCAACATATTTCGCTGAATGACAACTTCTGGTCTCATCATCCAGCAAGTCACCGCATCAGATCTTCACACATTCCAACAACTTACAACTGACCGCCTCCCACATTCAATCAAGCCTTTGCTCTTATCAAAGCAACCACATTTCAAAATGCAGTTCCTCACTCTCCTCACCACCGCCGTCATTGCCGCCAGCTCGGCTGTCGCCCGCCCTGGCGACTACACTCCTCCTACCGAAGGTTGCAAGCCGGGCACCTATTCCTGCGCTGTTGGTAACTATGGTCAGCAAGGCTGGCAGGTCTGCGACGTGTCTGCGCTCTGGGTGGTATGTTTGAGCCCTGCCTGTACATGACCGCCACGATGTTAACGATGCGCACAGTACGCCGGCGACTGCCCCCCTCACACTGATTGCTACTTCAACGAGCAGAACCAGAGCCCCTACTGCATTTAGAAGGGTGATGACGAGAGATACTTGGGGCAGCGAGGATGTTGATTAATAAGTGGCAAGGCGGTTTTGGCTTTCTTCTCTTTTCATCGCGGGAGTCAACCTGGCGTCCATCCGTTCCTTCACGAAGGTTATCTGTTTACTTTTTTTATAATGAACCACCAGCACATTCTGCTCATGTTTGGAATGCAATAAATAATACCGAGCATCTCAGTTGCGATGACTCCGTCTCGAACTTCATGTACGGGAGCGCTTTGAAGCTTGTTTCCCACTCCATTATGAAGCTCTTATGAAAGCTGTGATATGGGGAAACTACGAAGGACAGCTAAATGTCCGAATAGTCTTGATATGGTGCAATTTCAAGGCGTTATCATTTCGTCGGTCGTTGATTTTATGCACTTAGGGCGTAATATCTAGTAAATTTGGACGACATCGGCCAGTACTGGGAACACAAACGCTCACAGTCACACGAGGACGCAATGTGTCTCGCCATCGTCATTCACGTCCTTTATGTGCCAATAGGGGAATCTGAAACAAAGTTTCGGGTGCTTACTTGACATAAGCCGTTGCAAACGCCTCCAACCGGCTTGAACTCGTCAACATTCAGGGGTATACGTCCAACAATAGAAGCAATGGAAACAAACGGCTCGAAACAACACACCGTCCCACAGGCCTCGCATCTATCCAAATACCAGGCTGAACCCCATCTCTTCGGCGATTCTTCTCCATCCGCCACCCCCAGGATCGGCCCTCCCACCTGCCTTCGCCAGATCCCTCCTTCGCCAGACTTCCACAACCACCTCCCAGGCCTTTGCAGCATTGACCACACCTCTCGCTGCCTCGACTGCCGCGAAAGCCTGCCTCGCGAGGCCACGATCTCGGCCATCTCCGGCTTCGCATGCTGCCTCGAACAAAGCCCAAAGCATCCCGGCGCCCGTACCGCGCCCCGGCGGCAGATGCGGTCCCGTCGCCGAGACACAGTGCCAAAGCGCCGCCCTAGCATGCCGCTGCACCGCCTCGGCGTTTTGCTCGCGGTTCAACACTATGAGAGCGCTCTGTTTGCACGCAAGCGCCTTGCTTGTCATGACGCGGATGCGCGCAACTTCATTATCAGGGGCGTCCTCTGGTCCATCGACAACACGGTTGACAAGAGTGTAGCCAGGTGGAAGGGCGGGCTCCCATGCGACGAGAACCTGTTCTAGCTCATGAAGAGCCGCCTCTCGCTCGTCGCTAGCTTCATTGTCTTCGGAAGACCCATGCGGGCCCCTGGAAAGGCTCTGATCTCTCTGTCGACAGAGTAGAGAGGCAAGGCGGTGGAGGATGGGCCAGAGGTCGGCTGTGAAGCCGGAGATGGCGCTAATGGAGGAGTCCAAAGCCGGGACCGAAGTGTGGGAATGAACCGATGACGGGGACGGAGAGCAGGGCGAGGTGCCAGAAGAGAGCGCGTGGATGACATCAAAGTATCTGAAGGCCTGGCCATCTGTCAGCGGAGGTTCAGCGAGGACGCGATCCAGCGAACCCTACCTCACGGAAAAAGACAAGCCTTGGGTTTTCTGAGGCGTGGACTATTTCGAGAACCCTCCAAGCGTGTTGCATGTGCCGACTGATCAAATTTGTCGGGCCTCTCTGAAGAAGCTATTCATCCTGCGAGTCAGCGATGTCCAAGCTCGATGCATCCATCACAGAACATACCATCTCGTAGTACACCAGCAACAGCATCGCTCCGAGCGTCTGCTCCTTTGCCCAGTCCTCTTCGACTTCGGTCAAGGTGGTCAACCCGATCAAGGCCTGCTCGTGGAACAACCCATGGTCAACATCGTCTCTCAACCCCGTCCGTATCAGGTCAGCACCAGCCAGCGCACACGCCGCATCTCTCACCACCGCACTCCCAAAGCACAGCGACCCAACATGGTCTACGACAGCACTTCCGCCACCCTGTAACAGACTTCCAGCAACCGAGTGGCAGAAATGGTCTACCAGCGCATTGTGGTCCAGCGTCTGCGATGTCGGGTCGGCCACGGCCGAGAACGACCCCCTAGGCCTTGGTGACGCCGGAGCCAGCCAAGGCATGTGAGCCGGTGGTGCTGGGGCGAGAATTTGCTGGTGCTGCTGTTGCTGTTGCTCTCCCCAGTCCATGTGGCCCGCCAGGAATGGCCACGGCAGGAGATCCTCTTCGATCTGGGGGCTCCATGCCAGCGAAGGTATGACTTCAGCCTGCGTCCCGCAGACGTTGGCGCCGGCGAGATCAAAGGTGCCAATCTGGTACGTGTTCTCGCCGAGTGCCGCATCATCATAGCCCAGCAGCGACGGCGAGGTCCCGGTCGTCGAGTCGGACATGGATGTGTCGCCGCCGGCCCAGGGGTCCAGGAACGAGGCGAGCCCCTCTGGTGTCTGTCCAGGCTCAAAATAGGCCTGATGGAGGTGCGGCTGCTGGAGGTGCTGCTGATTCAAGGTGGGGTCAGAAGGCGCCGTGCTGGGACCGGAGGAACCTGGTGTGCTGCCAGCGTCCGGGGGCGAAGGGACCGTGAACTTTGTGGTGCGCTTCTTGCGCTTCTTGATGGGCTCGTAGACGCACTCGACGCCGAACTGGACGCAACGCGAACATCGTGGCTTTTCTTCGGAGCACTTCTTTCGCTACGAGGGGACAACGAGTTGGTCAACGGTCTTAGGGAGACGGCGGCCAGAGGTGGGAACTGAATCAGAGGAACGGAACATACCTTGTCTCGGCTGGGGAAGTAATGTGAGCTGGGTATAGTTCAGAGAGCATGGCACATTAGAAGGGATTCGCACCAGTACTTGCAACCTAAAGGACCTGTATTAGCCACAGCTCTGCCGACGCAGATACGATCATCAAAATGACAACATACCTGCTCGGGACCGGCTCTTGACAGGCTTGGGTTGTATGGGTTTCGCGTAAAGCATCATTCTATCATGAGGAGACTGCGAATGCTGTTGTTGGCCACCCGCAGCACCTTGCTCTGATTCAGATCGACCACCAAACATGGCGAAGGAAGGTGTGGCAGGCAATCAAAGCGGACGGCAGTACACAGCGACAGGAAAACGTGGGGTTGGGAAGCGAAGGGACCCGAGACAGATGGTTCGCGTATCGAACGAGACAGCAGGTGACGGGTGTAATAACATTCAGGAACCAACATGCCTGCGAGGGACCACCTTAAGCTTCCTACATCTTGATCATCACAGGACCTCGTCCCGAATCCCAAACTAGACCTTAATCCCATGGGCCAAGGCATGGTCCGAGACACATGGTCGAGATCGAAAGGGTGGGAGCATGGGTTCCCCAAACTCTCAAGTCCCCTCCTCCACCACCACCACCCCCAGACCGGCTGATGAGAGGAGACTGAGGGGTAAGGAACGTGCAATGTGGTTCACTGAAAGGAGACTGGAAAAGGGGGGAAGGGGGGAGCAAGCAGTGGGCGGTGGGCTGCATATTGCAGACGCATGTGGATTTCCCCCAATGCCAGGCCGTCAGAGGTACAGAGGAGAGATCGTTACAAGTGGTCTACCATAGTCATCGCAACGGGTCGTCCCTTGGCTTGGGGTATCCTGGTTTGGGCAACGAGGGAGAGGCAAGCTTTCATGACTAGCAGGGGGTTTGTACGTTTTCTTTACCCGGGCATTCTCCCCTGATCCTGGGAACTGCGAGTATGATGCCACGAAAGCAAGGGCAGACGGAGGAAGAGGCTTCGGGGAGGCGGCCATGGTAGGCTTTAAGCAGTGCTGATTGCTCAAAGCATGCGGGTCCCCCGTACATAATTACATGGACGCTCCCGAACGAGGATTCGCGAGGCGCTTGGCGCTCGGGGTACCGAACCATGGTTTGCGCTTCTCTATTCATTCTCTACTACGTAGCTTTCGTTCGAATGAGAGGCATAGGGGGTACGCTGCAAGGCACCGGCTCGTGCTGGAGACCTTGACCTGACCTCACTGATGCGGGCCGGAAAAGCTGTCTCCACCTGTATTGCTTTGCTGCCTTGAAAAGGGTAGTCATAGTTTCGCTCTTGTTGAGCCGAGATGCCGAGGAACCATGCTGCACTGCAGAGGTTCGGCTGAAGACACTGCTGTTTTGGTATCTTGAGGTTTGATCGATGGCGAGGAAGTCCTCTGGCAGTCTGCTCTCAACCGTCGTGGCAATGGCAGCAAGGGGGAGGGATGCCACACAGCTTACCGTTGTGAAGACTTGTGAACCTTCGCCATTTTGCCTGCCGCCGGGGGAGAATGCCCGCAGCTCAGGCTGAACTCACAAGCGCCTTCGCAAGCGTTGACCAACCTACAATTGCGAGTCCCAAAGAACTCAGTGTCGATACCGCGCGAGGGTCTAATAATCCGACGGCATCATTCATCCTCGTCCTCAGAAACGCAACCCATTGTGAGAAGAAGGGCAGGCGGGAAAAGGCGGACATGATCCAAATGCCCCCTCTGGCGGCGGTTTTCGTCGCGGACTTGATCGACGTTGATTCGACAGCTGCCTCCAATCCGCTGACCATCTCCAACCCCAAGACCAGATCTGCGTTAGCCCAGATTCAGGCTTGGACGACCCCTGTGAGTAGGCGGTGGGTGGACCCCCGAGTACGTTGATCGAGAGAGAGACGCGAAGAGCACGGACGAAGATAGTACAGACACAGACACACAGAAGAGAAGAGGGGAACCCTTGCTTCTGCAGCACACAATAAGGCACATGTCGAAGAGGCTTGCTCGCTAAAAACGGGAGTTTGTCCGCCACGAAATCTTGGTAGCCCGCGTCGCCCGCCCCCTATCGCTTGTCGCCCATCATCTGCCAGCCATGCACAAGGCCAGAGTAGGATGGACCTGCAGACAGGCCACTGCAAAGCTCAGGTCAGACTGCAATGGGGACCGTGTCCATCAATCTGAACGCGGTCCACAGTCATCCGTGGTCCATCTCGATCAGAGTGGCTGGTCCCCGCAATCAGATGAACCCACTGCCGAGTTGGAGACCGCCCACTTCTTTTGCCAGGGCAGTTGGCGCAAGTCAGGCACTCGGAATGGATTGACTCTAGGTCTGAGGGGAGCGGGAGATGACGAGGGGGAGACCACGTATTCGCGCGTGGCGTCGGATCAAATCTCTAGCACTACAGCGAAGGATGACGACGATGGAGATTATGGGAATGACAGGCTATGCCTTGGTTTCTGGTCTCTCGCGCCGCTCAGTCGCGCCGGGCGCGTGATTTCTCATCACTTGCCAAAGGTTAGTATCCGAAATCAGTGACGATTGGCCATTTGCTGGTCCCTAACTGCCCTGGGTCCCCAGCCCACAAGATAAGTAGTGGATCGAAGGTCAAGTAGTCTCAGATTCGCACCCTCCTACGCCGGACGGACTACTCCTATATGCTGCCAAGAGTATTACTTGAAGACGGAAATGTCGAAGAGGAAAATGCATGGGCAAACAAAACCGCGCCATGCCATGTACGCATTCATTGCAGACTAAGTAGCCCGCTTGATGAACTCTGCCGCCCTCTCAGCAATAGCGTACACAAGGCTCTGCGTATTTGCTCGAGGGATCAGCGGGAACACGCTCGCGTCGACGACACGCAGGTTGCTAACTCCGTACACCCGGAACCGCTCATCCACCACGCCGCCCTTGGCCCTAGGCAGCATCGCCGCGGTTCCGCACGGATGGTACTCGCTCTGTGCCGCGGCGCGGACCCATCTCTCCACATTTTCGGCCGTGAGCCGGTGGTAGCCCGGCTGGTACACCGTGCCGCCTCCCTGCATCAGCGCGCTCAGCGGCGGCGTCTTGGCCACGGCCTGGAGGTGCAGGGCAATGATCTTGAGAAGCTGGAGATCGGCGGGGTGCGAGAGATAGCGCGGGTCGACCTCGGGATGCATCGTCGCATCACGGGAGCGAATGTGCACTGATCCACGCGAGAACGGGTGCTGCAGGACGCCGAGCACGGAGATGAAGTTGCCCGGAGTGGAGGCCCTGAATAAGAGCGTCGAGTCGTTGGAGAACTGGGGCGAGATGCCTCCCTCGATGATCAGCTCCTGCGCGACCTCGCCGGTTGCGAGACCCCTCGCAATGAGGGCGTACTGTTCGGCGAGGCCTACGAAGCTGGTCTGGAGGGCTGTACCGCTCGCGTAAAGCGTTGACGCAAGCTGCGGCAGTGATAGCAGACCAGAACTGGCTCCTGACGTTGCTAGACGGCCGGTCTTGTTGTTGAGATACAGATCAAGCTGCTCCTGGAAGTACGTCATGTTGGCAAAGTCCTCATTCGTCGGGACGCCGGTTTTGGTGGCGAAACTAGCAGGGCGTCAGTATTGGATGTTGAATTACGACAGATCTGGCCGGGGGGGGGGGGGATCACCGATATCAGTTGTGGAAGCGTACTTACCCAAGTGGAACGTAAAGATGATCCTGCAAATTCTGTCCGACATTGGCATTGTCCACCTTCACCTCTATGCCGTGCTTCTGCAAGAGCCGCCTGCCCACAATACCCGAGAGCTCCAAGATCTGAGGCGAGGCGATCGATCCGGCGGAGAGAATCACCTCGCTACGAGCATCTGCCGTGTCCTTGGCGCCGTCCTTGGTCCACTGAACACCAGTGGCTACCGCCGTGGACCGAATCTTGTCCACTAGAATCTTGTCGACAAGAGCCCCGGTGATGACTTTGAGGTTCGTTCGCTTGCGAATGGGACCCAAATAAGCATTCGCAGCATAGCTTCTTTCGCGTCGCGAAGGGTCAATACTAAGGGGATTAACAAATCCCCCCAGCGCCAGCCCGCTTCGAGGGTCTCCATTGACGCCCAGTCCCAGAGTCTCGTATGTGCGTGGCCACGCCGGAAGTAGCGGGCTGTGGAGATCCGGAAACGCGTTGACAATGGGGCCTTTGTAGCCATGGGCTTTGGGGTCAACAAACTCCAGGCGCAAGTCCCGGATCAGCTGTTGAGAGGGCGGCATGAAGGTCTCCGACCTCTCATAGTATGGCGCCAGTTCCTTCCACGACCAGCCCTTATTGCCGAGCTCGCCCCAGTTGTCAATATCCTGTTGCGCGGCGTGAGTCCAGAACATGAAGTTGACGGCGGATGAGCCGCCGAGCTGTTTGCCGCGAATGTGGGCGAATACCCTGTCGTTGGCGGAAGTCTGCACGCTGTTAGAAGGCAACGATGGCACATCCACGATTTTCGCTCGTACCTGCGGGATCGTCTTGTAGTCCCAGTCATACTTAGGGTTACCATACATGGCTGGAAAAAGCCCGGGCACCAGAACATTGGGGTCCTCGGAATGGTTGTCGCCCGCTTCTAGAACTAGCACGGAGACCTTTGGGTCATCGCTGAGACGCCTGGCAATGGTGAGACCCGCCGTTCCGCCACCCACGACTCTGTGCATTGTCAGACGAGGCGGAGGTGAGGATGGTTCACGTCGCTTACATGTAGTTGTATGAGCTCGCCCCAGCGGCGGCTGCAGCACCGAGGCTCATATACCACACGGCGAACGACTTGGCAAACATGACAGACTCGCGAACGTGAAATTCAAGAGTAAGAAGAGGTCGACGTAACAGATACGGCACGATGATGATTGAACATAGGCGGGCAGTCGAAGAGTTATATTGGGCGGGGATCTACGGATGAAATGATACGACCAGGGACCAGGTTTTGGATTCGGCTTTCGTCATATACGTGACGAAAGATAGGAGACGGCGGCGGGATTACACAATGCAAGGCCTGCACAGTTGCAGAGTGAGAGCCAAATAGGGTAGCCGGCGTTCCATCTGTCAATCAGCACAACATGGCGTTTGGTCGATGGCGCGGTTCGAGGCGAGCCGAAGTGCTGCATGGCGCGCAGGGTGTCAAGGCTGCACAGCGACTTGATAGGCCTGGGCCCTCTTGAAGGCGGGAGAAAGGCTTCAATGTAACGGGGAAGTACTCCAGCCGGCGGAGAGGGTGACATGCGCGGCGGAGTTCCGCAGCCGCAGGTTGCAGGCATGTTCAGCTCGTGAGGTCGCAAACGAGGTTGAGACGTCGTTGAAGGTTGGACAGCTGAAGAAATAAATTGCGAACCAGAAAAGCATTCGTGGTCTCCCAAGCTGCTGCCATATCGTTCCATCGGCTTCGGGCGCTGCATCTGCAAGGCTGCGCTGACTGCAGGGCGATACCTCGAATGACGACAAAATGTCCATGTCCGTTGGGTACGCAGAGTACCTACCTGGAAGGAGGTGGAAGAAGACAAAGACGCGATGATGTGAACGTCATATCACCGTCTCTCGGCAGGAAAGAGCTCAGCGAATGATTCCAAGGGCGGGCCACGATCTCACTCCAACACCTGATGAAGAACGTATTTTGTAACAGCTTGAAGATGCAATCCTTTTTTTCTTTTTGCAGGGTTCTCTAATCATCCAGTCGTGATATGGCCCCAGATCTCTCCTACTATACACAGACGCCTCCGAAAACACGATCGAATGATTCTCGAGGGCGGGGTGGTGATGTACATGCCGCGCCTGTGCGTGGTGTGTCTCGTTTCGGTCGGTCGATCGATCTAGTCGGACCTCGGGCGCTGCATCGCGGGGTGGGACATGATGAAGGCCCTTCGCTGCGCCTGACGGTAGGCCTGCTCGACGATAGGGGATGTGTCGGATCGGATGACGCTGCCGATGGACATGAAGAAACTGGAACGCGGGTGGTCAGCCAGGGTCGGCCTCGTCTTGGTGGGGAGAGACAGTGAGAGGTCTCGAGACGAACCCGAATGTTGACCCGGATCCCAGCATGTACTGGCCCAGGGTCCTCATGATACCGTTAGGTCCAGCGCCGTAGCGGAAGATGCTGACGGTGCCTGTCATTTTTCTCTGTCAGTCGGCGCATTCTCGGGTTCGGTGCGGCCGAGTGGCTGTAGTGGGTAGGCCGACGTACCAAAGATGAAGCCCATGATGGTACCGACAGCTAGTAATCCTGTGAGCTTGGGGTCTTGCGCTGAGAATGCTTCGTTCACATACTGCCACCCATGATGGCTCCCATCTTGACTGCGACTTGTCAGTACTCCGACGCCATTGCTAGCAAGGGTTCTTTCATGTGCTCGTACGCTTGTCCAGGTTGGATTGGGCGGCTGGGTGGCCGCCAGCGTTCGAGGGCATGGGAGGCATATTGGCGGTGGGGATTGTAGGAGGGATTCTGCGTCTAGGGGACAGAGATGATGTCGTGGAATCGGACAGGACAGGACAGGACCTCGCGTCTGGTGGTATCGCAACTTCAACAGCGTCGGGTCAGGCACTGAACTTTTGACAGTCGACCGCGATCCAATAGTTTCGACTCGAGTGGAGGAGCAACAGCAGGGGAGCTTGAAACGGCCCGTGCGCCTCTCATGTCACGTGGATCGTATGGGGAGACGGATGGCCTGACGGGAGGGGATGGGCCTACCACAGTGCTATCCGAGACTTCACCTGGCCTCCTACTTCCACTAAAATGATGCCTGCCCCCTAACGTTATGGCCGTATCCAGGCGCGCCCAGTGCTGTGCTCTCACGTGAGCTGGTTTTGTGGGTCTGTCAGGCGTCTAACGGAGCTTTCCCGCCCAAAACGTCGGTGTGGAATAGCCCACGACAAGCATTTCATGATGCTCGTGCAAGAATCCCATATGCAAGTGACCTTGTACCATCGCATGCCTTAGCTGGCAACCCGTTGCTTTTTCCTTCTCTCTCTCTCTCTCTCTCTCTTGCGGCAGCCCCATTGCATCGCAGCCAGTGGCCGTCAACTGTCACTGTGCAACGTCGCTGGCCGTGCGGCTCAGGCGCGTGTGGTCTCTGGCCCGTGTGTCCTGACGCTAAGCGCTTAGCGAATCATTGCTGGGACGAAGAGCCAGACGTCCTCCCAACTGAATTGACCCTTGACCACCTCAACTGGCCTTCGACTTTTTGCTGTCGCCAGACGCGCACCACGTTGCTTGCCATCGACTTCAATTGCTAGGTGAGTTCACGGCCCGCTGCTCCTTGTATCCATGTCATTTTTTCGGTCGCTGTCGGGGTCCGTGCTCGTGTCAGGCCGCCTGGCCGCCCCATTTACCGGCCACCCTCCTCCCTAACCCTGCGACCGTGACCACTGACTTTTCCTTCTTGCGCCTAGTCACATCATTTTCACGACCTGCCGCCATACCTACGATATTTTCGACGCGACTGGGCATCTCGGAGACGACTTGTTCGAGTCGTTTCTGTGTCGGAGGAGCGACCAACCATCGAGCTGCCGACGCGTTGAGCCTCCCTCTTTCGCCCTCCTCCCTCCTTCTCTCCCCATCGACGAACGCCGACCAGTTTCCTCACCATCTGCGACAGTTTCTCCCGAACGACTCTTTTCCTCATGACGGCCGTGGCGAATCCTCCCTCCTTCCAGCAGATCAACCGCTCGGCATGGAATATTAACGGCGGCCAAAACCTCAACTCGATGAACTCCGACGACGTCAGAGGCATGTTCATGCCGCGGAAGCCCATGCAGCGAAGCAACTCTTCCTCTTCCATCTCTTCGACTTCCTCCGCCTCCTCCACCACCACCGTCGCCACCAACGGCTCGCAGTCGAATGGAGCGCCGTCGACCAACTCGGACATGAGCTCGTGGTCAAGCACCGCATCCCGCAAGCGTCCCCAGCCCAAGGCACCCTGGCCGCCCGGGAAACCAGAAAACCCTGTCGAGCTCGGCAGGATGCCGGCAGGGCGCGGCCCCATGAACGGCCACACGATCAACGGCAGCTCACTGCAGCAGAACCCCGGACAACCTCAGATGGCACAGCAGCAGAGCCTGGGCGCACGTCCCCTCGGCGAGCCCATGCCCTCCGGCCAGCCTGTGCTCTTCCTACTCTCTCTCAACGGCACCTTTGAGCGCAAAACCATTTCCGTACCGTTCTACCCCGACAGCCTCCGTATCGGCCGCCAGACCAACCAAAAGACGATCCCGACGCCTGCGAATGGCTTCTTCGACAGCAAGGTGCTGTCCAGGCAACACGCCGAGGTATGGGCTGACCGTATGGGCAAGATCTTCATCCGCGACGTCAAGTCGTCAAACGGAACATTTGTCAACGGCAGCCGCCTCTCCGCCGAGAACCGCGAGTCTGAGCCTCATGAGCTGCAGACCCAGGATCATCTCGAGCTGGGCATCGACATTGTCAGCGAGGATCAGAAGACCGTCGTCCATCACAAGGTGGCTGCCAAGGTGGAACATGCCGGTTTTGCCAACCCCTCCAGCAACGTGATGGAGATGAATTTTGGTGATCTCGATCCTGCAAGAACGCGCCAGTCTCGGACCCTCCCAAGGCGGTGATATGCAGCAGTACAGGGGAAGGCAGGGCAGCAACCTCTCCATGTCCAGTAACGGGAGAATCGGAGGCGCCGGCGGTATCGCAGGCCCCCAGATGAACGGCGCACCTGGTCGTGGGCCCTTCATGTTGTCGTCGGTCACCTCAGACCACATCATCAAGCGTCTTCACGTGAGTGTCTCCTTATCACATGTGGAATCCAGGGTAAGCTAATCTGTGTTAGAACGAGAATCGAAGGCTC